AATTGGGAGGTTGCAATTATACCCGGGTATATGTGCATGTAGTATACAGAATACCTCCAACCATGGGTTATAGCGCAGTCCGGTTGCACGCTTCCACTTTAGATGCTGTGATGGCGTCCAAGTAACATGCGGATGATTGCACGGCTTGTCTGAAGATCAGCGATGCATCACCTAAAAGGATAAAATGCCCTATCTATCCTTACTCTTAGTCCCTATCCCTAAACTGGGCTGTCACTGCAACTGGGCCTCTATCTGTCTAAGTGGCCGTCGGATGCCTAACCTACCTCTAGCCTAATCTATCCAATGCTCCCTATGCTAATCCTAGCTAAAAGGAGCTCCAGACCAATAAGGATGCTATAGCTTTAAGCAAAAGGCTGCAAAGATACACTGCAATTAACAGAAAGTTCACCTGACAGTCTTATGCAGGTGAAAACACGGATCTATCTATCTATATAGACAACTATAAGGATTCTGCAGTGTGTAAATAGAATAATGATAATGAACCACAACTCTCTCCTACAGAGATATTAGGTTTCCTATACAGAAGTTGAAATATAACAGAGGCAGACCTAATCTGCTTCAGTAACAACTAGATAGATAACAGCCTTGTTAATCTGGATCATTACTCACAGAATCCCCATACAGTTCTCCCCAGATACATAGCACATGGCAGGCTGGAACCCTCTGCCTGATACTTCCTTGAAAAACAAACTATATAACATCCTGGGGTTTCTTGACCTCCTTGTAGGGGCAGGAAGCACACCTAGGGACTTGTCTGTAATGGGACCTCTATGGTAGTGGCTGTATATGAACATAAACAAACCACAACTAGTGTATAAAATAACAGTTCCCTACATAGCCATTGTTTTTTTTTTTTTTGCTGTTTCAGCACAATGCTCTTAGCTCTCCCCTTGCTCCACCACTCACTCTGCCCCAGTCTTAGACTCACTTGGAGGGATTAACAAAGATTGGTGCATGGACAAATTTATGTGTTCATTTCTTATGAACACTTATTAGAGTTGTATGTGCCAAATAAATAAAAGTGTTGCACTACAATTTGTTTTTGTTTGTTGCATGATAGTGGTGCAATGTCTGTTCATTCACATCTACATCTCCTCTCCCTCCAGTAGTACTGTTCATCGCTTTCTCCCACTACCCCTCCCATTACAGTATTTATGTCACTGTGTTAATGGTGTACATTTTATACATTTTTAAATATAGAACATTGGTACAAGTGTTTTCAGACATTAATAGAGACTGCCGAGTATCACATAAGGGCTCATTCACTCGGGTGCACAAAACAGTAAACCCCCACAGAGGGTCATGTTTATCTACCTAGGAGATACAAGTGGTCCAGCAGCTACATGCAATCGGCCTGTAAATTTCAATGACATGCTAATGGTTAAATGGATCTTTACTGGTCTTCACACATAACCCTGAGTACACCTCCATGAAGGACTGATGCACATCTCTGAATGCAGAAAGACCTCATTCAGAGACAAGATTTGGTCCCACACAGATGAACAGACCAGTTGCACATGGCTGTGTAAGGGTGTGGGGCGTGGATAAATACTGATGTGCAATGTTCAACTGCAATATGCTCTTTGGTTAGTAGATGGCAGCAAAGTACATAAATTGATTTTGCATTGAGGTTTACTAAGACAAAAACTAATGCTTGTTTACCTTATAAAGTTTAATTAATGCTAATTTAGGGGCCGAGTAGGACCCTCAGAAGGGTCATAGTGAACTGAACAAAAACTAATGCTTGTTTACCTTATAAAGTTTAATTAATGCTAATTTAGGGGCCGAATAGGACCCTCAGAAGGTCATAGTGAACTGTAAATGCAGGTTTGAGGCTGCAATTAGGAAATTACTTACTGCATCACAAACTCTCTGGGAAGGGGAGGAGTTCCAGTGGACAGCAGGAAGTGACAGGGAGTCTGTGTCTGGCTGGTGCATGCTGAGGATGTCTGGAGAATCTGTGTGGAGCCTGGAAGAGGATTTACGGCTCACAGTGGAGTCTGGCGATGGCACCTAGGGAAGATTCACCGCAACGAGACCAGGAAACAAGTGACCGTATGGTCAAATTCTGGAGTGGACCAGTGGATCAGGAAAAAGCACCAAGAGCCTGTCAAGAAACTGTAAGTGCGGCTTTGCCGCAGCACATCGCACCACACGTGTTCAGTGACATTTTGGATATACCAGAAAGCTACAAGAGACGTACTCCACTTTCCTTTGGATCACAAATAGTATTGCGCAATACTTAGGGTGCACCCCGACGTTATATCTTGCTCAGGAACATTCAGGCGCAGCCAGGCTGCTTTCTGGACATTGGGGAAAAGGCCGCAAGTACGGGGTTAGTGTTAGATAGTATTATTCTTACTGTATGGTTATTCGCTGTTATCATTCTGTTTATGTATGCTCAACTACTTGTTCACTATAACTGTTCAGTAAACGTAATTGTTGTAAAAGAACCGCTGTCTGTGTGGCATCGTGTACCCTCTGAATCTGTGGGCCCAGCCCTCGGTTTTCCTTCAGCTGCATGGACTAGCTATGTTTCCTGGGTGGATATACGCAACCCTCTTCAAGGGTGTACCAATCTGTGCATTGGTGTGAGTGAGCCCTTAAAGTGATTTGGCACAGTTTGAGCAACAACACTCTCAACTTCAGTAAGGAAACCTTTTAATCTGGTGCACAGTGAATGCACTTATATTTACACTAAAAGTACGACAATCGGTATTTCCCTTTGTCAATTGCCCCTCAATTACTTTGAAAAGTTTCCAGGTATGTTAAAGACAAAAGATTTAAAATAATGTTAATGTTAGTTTTGACATCTAGCTTTTCTAAATTTCCTGTATGTAATTGTTACAGTTGTGTCGGCATTATTAAGAAATACAAAACTTAAAAAAAAAAAACCCATAATGCTGCCTTAAGTGAAGAAATACATTAAAGTGGTATTAACCCCAAAAGCAAACATTTGTTATACTGCCGCTTACCAATTCTTAAATGTGATGACTGTTTTAATTTTTTTCTTTCTTCTATTTACACCTGGTGATATAGCCAGTACATTTGTTGTTTTTCAACAAAACAAGCTCTCCTTCAAATATAGCAGTTGCAGGATTGAGACAAACCATTTATCAAAATCTTGCTGTAACTGCTTGTGTGCCTGCAGTGTAAGCTGGAGTTTGACTTCTTTTTGTTAGTGTATCTATATTTAACACTCCCCTCCCCCAGACTGACAATGCTGCTGTCCAAATGTGCTCCCTGTGCTACATTATCCAATGTGGGGGCTGTCTAATCCAGGAGATCTGTTACTGGCCAGATCACCAGGTGAATACAGAGGGAAAAGGCCTAAAAATGAAAACTAATGCAGCCACAACATCTAAGGATTGGTGAGATGCAATATATTACATTTTTGGTTTTGGGTTCAATATTGCTGTCATTCCACAAATCACAGCCAGTTTTCAAACATGGTGTTCTAAATTTATTTTCCAGCTACAGTTTTAGTTACAGTAACAAGAGGATGCACAGGGTTTCTGAATTCCAGCTACAATTTCAGCATTGTTGAAGGGATGCCACCAGGAACTGAAGTTGGGACAGTACAAGCCTATATTGGGTCAGATCTGTTAGTAATGTATTCCCTTGGGACATACACAGAGACTTTTTCCATTACTGACAAAGGGACAATCCTAACACGCATCATGCTGGACCGAGAGGATCAAGACAGGTTATAGTGTGATGGTGAAAGCTGTGGATTCAGGGGAACCACCCAGTACTGGAGCTTTTGTGGTAAGGATTATTCCATTTTGCATTAGTTGTTTGCTGTTTAACATCTTACCGACTATGCTATAGCCGAATGACAGCTACAGTGTGGTTGTCCAGTTCTTGGAGGGTATCTATAGATATCCTCCCAGAACCTTGATACCCCCCGCATGCCCTTGTGACGCGCATCGGACATGCTTTGTGATCACAGATTGAGGTAAAGGGCCAATCACAGCGGCCCTTTACTATGTGATCAGCTGTGTCCAATCACAGTTGATCACATTGTAAACAGGATTTGCTGGTTTTTGAACGTTCTCTTCTCACGCTGACAGCGCGTGGGGAGAGGAGACAGGTAAGTGGCATTCTACACAGGGGACATCTACACTGATCATCAGTGCCCTAACTATTGGTGCAGCCCCATCAGTGCTGCCTTTCAGTGGCCATCAGTGATGCCTCACAGTACCCATCAATGCTGCCTATCAGTGCCTATATATATTGCCAGAAGTATTGGGACGCCTGCTTTTGCAAGCACATGAACTTTATCGGCATCCCAGTCTCAGCCCGTAGGGTTCAATATTGAGTTGGCCCATTCTTTGCAGCTATAACAGTTTCACCTCTTCTGGGAAGGCTGTCCACAAGGTTTAGGAGTGTGTCTATGGGAATGTTTGACCATTCTTCCAGAAGCGCATTTGTGAGACCAGCCACTGATATCGGACGAGAAGTCCTGGCTCGCAGTCTCCGCTCTAATTCATCCCAAAGGTGTTTGTCTATCGGGTTGAGATCAGGACTCTGTGCAGGCAAGTCAAGTTCCTCCACCCCAAACTTGATCATTCATGTCTCTATGGACAGTGCTTTGTGCACTGGTGCGTAGTCATGTTGCAACAGGAAGGGGCCATCCCCAAACTGTTCCCACAAAGTTGGGAGCATGAAATTGTCCAAAATGTCTTGGTATGCTGATGCCTTAAGAGCTTCCTTCACTGGAACTAAGGGGCCAAGCCCAACCCCTGATGAATAACCCCACATCATAATCCCCCTCCACCAAACATTAAACTTGGCACAATGCAGTCAGGCAAGTACAGTTCTCCTGGCAGCCGCCAAACCCAGACATGTCCTTTGGATTCGTCACTCCAGGGAACACGTCTCCACTGCTCTAGAGTCCAGTGGTGGAGTGCTTTACACCACTGCATCCGAAGCTTCTCATTGCACTTGGTGATGTAAGGTTTGGATGTAGCTGCTCGGCCATGGAAATACATTCCATGAAGCTCTCTACGCACTGTTGTTGTGCTAATCTAAAAGTCACACAAAGTTTGGAGGTCTTTAGCTATTGACTCTGCATACAGTTGGCAACTTCTGCACACTGTGCGCTTCAGCATGCGCTGACCCCGTTCTGTCATTTCATGTTGCCTACCACTTCGTGACTGAGTTGCTGTTGTTCCTAGTGGCTTCCACTTTGTTATAATACCACTAACAGTTGACTGTGGAATATTTAGTAGCAAGGAAATGTCACGGATGGACTTATTGCACAGGTGGCAACCTATCACGGTACCACGCTTGAATGCAGTGAGCTCCTGAAAGCAACCCATTCTTTCACAAATGTTTGTAAAAGCAGTCTGCATGCCTAGGTGCTTGATTTTATACACCTGTGGCCATGGAGGTGATTGGAACACCTCAATCCAATGATTTGGAGGGGTGTCCCAATACTTTTGGCAATATAGTGTATATGTATATATATATATATATATATATATATATATATATATATATATATATACACACAGTATATTACTGACACAAAAGGCTTGGTTAGGCGTGTCAAGGTGTTGTCAGGCATATTGTAACTGGGCTTTTTTGTGGCATTGGTGCAGTAAAAGCTTCTTTCTGGCACCTCGACCAAACAGCTCATTTTTGTTCAAGTATCACCATATTGTACTTCTTAAAAACAACCACACCATGTTTTTCCAGAGAAAACTGTATATCTTTTGAGGTTGCCTGTGGGTTTTTCTTTGAGTCCCGGACAATTCTTCTGTCAGTTATGGCTGCAATCTTTCTTGGTCTACCTGACCTTGGCTTGGTATCAAGAGATCCCCGAACTTTCTACTTCTTAATAAGTCATTTGGCATATTCAAGGCTTTGGACATCTTTTTATGTCCTTTTCCATCTTTATAAAGTTCCATTACCTTGTTACGCAGGACTTTTGACAGTTCTTTTCTGATCCCCATGGCTCAGTATCTAGCCTAGTCAGTGCTTCCACATAAGAGCTAACAAACTCATTGACTATTTATACACTGACACTAATTGCAATTTAAAAAGCCACAGATGTGAGACATTAACCTCTAATTGGCATTTTAACCCGTGTGTGTCACCTTGTGTGTCTGTACCAAGGCCAAACATTCCAGGGGATGGAAACTTTTGATCATGGCCATTTGGGTGATTTGTGTTATCATTATGATTTAAAAAGGAGCCAAACAACTATTTGATAATAAATGGCTTCATATGATCATCATCCATCAACAAAAGAGCATTTTTTGGCATGATCAGTCATATTTTCAATATCAATGCCAAAATTTCACAATTTCTGCCAGGGTATGTAAACCTTTAAGCACAACTGTATATAGAGCTGTTAATTAAGTGTTCTTGCATGGCAAGACCACTTACTGTTATCTCACATATATATTCTTATTATTATAGCCAAATTTACCACCCTGACACCTCCCATAGTTTTTACACTACATAGACAGTAATATACCGAAACGTGCAGATTGGTCCCGATTGGTGTGCTATTACTTTGTGGAACGTTTCGCCGAATGGTTCACGAAATATCGGTGTTTTTGTGGTGAAATTGGTCCCATAGGAATGAATGGCGGAATGTTCAAAACTAGAGTGGGAGCTGACAAAAGCTAGAGTGTGAGCTGAAAAATCAGCACATGATTTCTAAACTGCCATCACTCCCTCATTTTCAAGCCCACCTACACAAATCTTATATCAAAACGTTCAGCTATCCCTGCTGCCACTAAAAATGTCCACGGCTAAGCCATAGTCCTGATAGTTTTCACAATATGATTATTTGTTTGCAACTCACGCTGCCCATTGACATTCATTGAAACTCCACTCTAGCCACCTCAAATTTGAAGGGCAATTTCTAAACTGCGACTGTGCCTTCATTTTTAATATCTCAGAGACAAACTATGCATCAAAATGTAGGTCTGGGTCTTGTGATTCTCACAATATAAAGCTCTTCGATATAGAATTTAAAATTTTTAAACTATAACCGCTTGAAGATGGCAACCGTCAGTGAAGTGAACAAGTTGGAGCAGTTTGTTTTTAACTGCTCTTCTCTGCCCTAGCTGCAGAGTGAGTTGCCATAGGAACCCAGGTGTGTGAGCAGGCAGCAGAGTGACAAGCCACTCCACCCAGTTACTCCGCCCACTCCAGTTGTAGACTACTGGTGGAGGCAAGAACACTTCAGAGCAGCTCACCATCATAATCAACCTCCAAGATTAATGGAAGATGTAAAATCCACTGTGGACTGCTGTCCTCATATATGAATCCGGATCACAGATGCATACAGTACATCGATAGAAATCCCATATGCATGGAAAAAGAGGCCAACAATAGTGAAGTACTGCTCAAAAACTTTGTATTAAATACTAAAATGTTACACTCACATAGGCAGAAATAATGTCAACATGTCATAAATCCCACAAGATACTATGGATTCATACTCTGACACTACACACTAGGCACTCCCATAGCCCAAAAGTGTCCAAGCTTGATGATGTCACTCTCAATCTGCCATACACTTATGCATTTCATTTAAATGACTTTCTCAGGGGCATTTCTTTTGCATCTGGAGCATGTAAGCATTTACTTATAGCTGTTTTATGGGCTATACTTTGTTTATGATTGATGTTTTATATATTAATTGTAGTTCTTTCAGTAAGAATTGATAATAGCCTGACCTTTTGACATACAGTATTTGACCAATGGAATTTATGTTACTACGCTGCCATCCAAAAATTGTAGACAGAAATGCACCCCTCATAGAAACTGATGTACGTATCAAATTTGAAAGGACTACGTCTATCTGGGAATGGCTAGCAAACTTTCCTAAATTAAAGACCAGCCACACGAGCTGAAAAAAGGACTATGCCAAGGGACGACACTAGAAGCCGCACTACAAGAAGTGAAAGACTGCCAAGACAAGGAGCACATTTTCTTGCAATTGCTTGAAATGCCATTTTTTGCCATGGAAATCAGTGACCAGCTATAATGGAAGCTGAGCAACCTATTGCATACAGACTAGTATATTTGCTAGGAAAGATAGGTAGTGTGTGCATGTGTGTATGTAAGCATATCATTCTGTATGTCATGTATTGTATTCCTGTAACTGTAATACAGCATTTTTGTTTAGTAAATACACATTATTGTACTGTTGGGTCCTTGGCTTTACTGCAAGCAAAGGCAAACAGAAATTAGCAAAACAACTAGTAGTCACCAATTTGAATTGATCTGACATTCTTCAGAGTACTGAAATTTAAATTAATAAATGGTAAAATGTTGGCAGACTTGATTAACACTAATCTATGTTACCTCTGTGTTTTTTCATAGGTTACTGTCACTGTACTTGCCATGAATGACAATGTTCCAGTATTCTCACCTGTCATTCATAAAAATATCATATGCCAGGAAAATAAGAAGTTCCCTGATTTGGGGCTTATAAGGGCAACTGACAAAAACAACAGTAATAATGGATCTGTGACATACATGTTGAAAAATGACTTTGATGGCATTTTCCACATTGATAATTCTACAGGCCAGTTGTCCAATTACAAGCCACTGGATAGAGAGACAACAGATAGCTATGAACTCACAGTAATAGTAAGTCTGAAGTCATCATTCTGCTTTGCCAAATTGTTTGTGTTATCAACTGCAGGTATGAAATGTAAATACCAACACTTTCCTATTGTTTTCTACTTGCTCAAAAGATAAGCATAAACCTACCCTGAAATTAGGTAATCCATATCTATACCTAAGAGAAAAGATGGAATATATTAAACTTACCAGTGCTCACATGTGATGGCTGCATTAGTTTTCTTTTTCTAGAACTGCTTTTTTTTGCACCTGGTTATCCTGCCAGTAATGTACATTCTGATGTTCACTCATTGTACTGTATCTAGGAGTAGCGCTGTCATCCTAGCACAGGACTACACCTATAACCTCCCTTTCCTCTTCTCAATAACATAGGGAAAAGTGTTTTGTAATTCACAAGGAAAACTTAGAACAAAAGACAAAAGGGAGAACATAAGAGACGTTGTACTGATGCCTCTTCTTTTATGTGAAATCCTCCTCCCTCCATGACCAGCCCCCCAATATTGCAGGGCAGTGCGGGTTAAGGCTGCATTCACACTTCAGCGTTTTGTAGCTTGAAGCTCGATGCTCTAAAAATGCTCAAACGTAAAACATCAATTGCTCTCTATGGTGCCTGTTTGCGCAATCAGGTGTGAACAGGCACCATAGAGAACAATTGATTTTTTAAGTTTGAACTCTTTTGGAGCTTAGAGCTTCAAATCACCCAAGTGTGAATGCAGCCTAATAGAACCAAGGGACTGTCACAAGGCTGTCTCATCAACGGAACCCACTATGCCTGCTCTTTGCGCCAAGCTGCTCCATTCTTGTGAGCTGTACTACAGCTTTCAAGAATGAAACAGGATCTATGGATGGAGGACAGGTGGATGATTGATAGGTTGCATTCATAGATCATGTTTCATTTGTAGAAGCTGTAGTATAGCTTCTATGATTAGAGCAGCTAGGTGTAAAGGGTGAGCATAGTTGGGCTCTTTGATAAGAGCCTGTGGCAACCCCTTAGTTAACATTCCCCCCCTATTAACCATCCCCATACTGGAACATTATGGCGTTGGGGGTGGGGGGAGAATGGGCGAAGAAGTAATTTTAGGAAAAGAAGGGAATCAGCATAAGGGACACATCTTACTGACTGTAAGCTATGCCCCTTGGGCTGAATTCTCTGAGTTTTTCTTGGGCTGCACTAAGGCTTTAATTCACATTACTCTATATACACTGAAAGGTGTCACTCCATTACTTTTGAAATCAAATAAGATAATTTGCTGCTTGGGATTTTACCCTCCTGTATTTTCCCTTACAGGCACAGGATTCTGGGACTCCACCTTTATCATCCACAATAATGATACATGTTTCTGTTCAGGATGCTGATGATAACCCTCCTATATTTGAACACACTCTGTATGAAGTTACTGTAAAGGAAAATGAAGCTCCGTATGTGGTATCTATCCTCAGTAATTTTAGAAAATGTAAAGACAGAAGCGTCAATCCAGATTCATTTTTATAACTTGTTAAAAAATGCTGGTGTTGTACATTGTAATAACCATAGGCTTTCACAGTGGAAAAGAATCTTTGGTCCAGCTTGAACCAAACAACTTATTTGCATGCCAGAATGGACTGGTTGCTGTTTAGTCTGTAATATACAGTAGTAGCTTGTGCTCATGTACAATAAACAGCACTTTTTCCCAGCAGCAGTACAAGACACTACCCCACTACTGCCAGATATAAGGAGAGTCAATATCAGACCACCTCCTCCATT